ATTTATAGATACACTAGCTTAACTTAGTTAATATTATAAAACACTATGTTCTGGGACTCCAGTGTGGGCCAAGGAACCAACAGTCTGCATACAAATAAACCAGTAAACTCCAGGCAGGAGCATTTAAATGAGTTATTTGCTGACCATCATGCCCTTTTATAAAAAGATAAAGATAAACTCCAACACCACATAAACAGCATCAACACCACATAAACAGCATCAACACCACATAAACAGTATCAACACCACATAAACAGCATCAACACCACATAAACAGCATAAACACTACATAAACAGCATCAACACCACATAAACAATATCAACACCACATAAACAGCATCAACACCACATAAACAGCATCAAAACCACATAAATAGCATCAACACCACATAAACAATATCAACACCACATAAACAGCATCAACACCACATAAACAGCATCAAAACCACATAAATAGCATCAACACCTGTTGCAAGCAATATAAAATTAAGTACTGTGAAAACCCAGTAATAATGACATAAATAGACCACCAGTTCAGCTTGTCATCAGTGTTGAAGGAGAGACATTAAAACAAGCTATAGAGTTTGTATCTAGGCAATGTATTCACAGAGGATGGAGTATTGAATAGAGAAATAGTAAACAGAATATAGAAGGCCAACAAAATAAATTATCAAACTGTGTCACTTTTGAGGCATCAAAATTACCACCCCACCGCCCCCCCCCCCCCCAAAAAAAAGAGACAGGCACACACAACACACACAAAAGCAGCTGATAAATGTGCTGCTATTCATACCAACTTTATGCTTTCAGTGCTAGACATGGAGTTATAAAAAAAACATAAATGCAAAATGACATCATGTGAAATGAGATTATAAGAAATGCGGTGGGAAAAATGAGAAGAGACAGTCACCAATGAAGAAATAAGAACAAGAGTAGGCATAGTCCTGGTGAATAATTTCATAGAATATCAAAGAATCAATTGGTCTAGTCATTTGGTCAGAATGGAACAGAATTAGCCAGCAGCTAGAGCATACTACACAAGAACAAGGAATTCCAATGAAATGTGACTGAAAAGCTTAACGAAACGGGAAAGTAGAAAAATGTGCATAAAACAACACAAAACAACATTTCAGCGTGTGGCATTTCTCAGACAAGTAATGAACTACACAATGTTAACAGGGAGGAGAGAATTGAAAGCTGTAAGGTGTGACGTGAGCAACTTAACAAAAATATGATGAGGAGTCAATGAAAAAAAAATATAATAAACAAAGGCCAAAAAAAAAAAGATGTTTCTGCTTCTTTTTCTCCTCCTCCACCTTGTACCTCATCGAAGTGTGTGTGTGTGGGGGGGGGGGGGGGAGGTGTAGAAAATGTAACATTCATTGATGAGCTCTGTCAAGAGCACAGCACCATAAAGACTGATGTTCATTTCTGTAAGGCTGTTCTTAATGCCATCACTCCATATTTCCTGAGGTCTTCCACTCGCTCTATACCCGTTGTAATGTTTTACTGTGGCTTGTTGTGGCAGATAGTAGCAGGGCATTCACTACATCTGTTGTTCTTTGATGATCTGTAAGCCTGACTTCATTCCTAGCATTTGTCTGATTTCGTGATTTCGTATTCTGTCTTTCCTTGAAACTCCTGCTAAGGCATTTCATCAAAATAAATGCAAAAAATAAAATGTACTATTGTTAATATATAATATAATAGTAGGAATAAACGAGTAATAGAAATATAAATGTTAATGATACATAAATGGTACTGATAAAAGATCTCAAAAAATTACCTTTGTTTATTTTATTTCATTCATTCCAAATCATATTTTTTATATAGTAGCTCATGTCACCCCTTAAAGATTTTAACTCTCCTCTTTGCTTTTGTATAGTTCATTATTTGTTTGAGAAAGGCCACCGGCCGAAACATTGTTCTGTGCACCTTTTTCTCTTCCCCATTTCATTAATATTTTTGTTTACATTTCACTGGAATTCCTTGTCATTAGCTTGACTGCAGTCACCCCCATATTTTCACAACTCTTTGGATTTGCACAAGAACAGCAGGCTACAAGACTAGAGGTCAACCAAGAAAGAGATGGGTGCAGGGAGTGAAAGAAACACTACAGAAATGCAATATGACATTAACACAAGCAGTGCAACTAGCAAATGACAGGAGACTACATATAACTCCTTTCTGTTATGATTTTGCAGCATAAGCAACATGACAAAAGAGAAAGAAGATTGTTTTACTAGCATGTACTGAAGCTACTTGTTAACCTTTAAACTGTTAAATATAAAAGCCTAATGACTATGCTCAGTTCCTTAATCAGTAATCTAAGTATTTTAAACAGATTAAGACACAAAGACAACCTACTACAAAAATAAAAAATATATTTTTGGGCTACATTTTGTGAAGTGAAAATCTCCCTTGTAAGAACTAGAAAGATAAATGGAAAGAGAAATAGAGAAAGACAATCCCAGAAGGTACTTGACAACCTTTTGTCATAAAAAAAATAAATATATGTCAGCACACAATTAATACATTCTGTTGGAGATTGTAGTATGTGAAGAAGCTTGATCGTTCATGCTAATTGGTAAGCCACTGAGTGTTTGAGAGCTAGAGATTGATTCATCACTAATTTACTTATGCATATAAAATTGCGTTAAGAAAAGCAGATACCTTGGACTGTCTGAATAGGAGCACAGGAAAATATCTCATGACGACTGGAAAGATCACTTGTAGGAGAGGCATAGTGAAAATGATCCACAACACCAAAGACTGAGATCTGTGGAGATGCGTGAATGGCTACGCCAGCTGGCAAGGCACTTGATGATGATCATGATGATATAACATTTTTATTGTATAATCCATTTAAGGACCTGAAGTTGCTTGTTAAAATATGTGAAACATGGTTTCCTTATCATTCCAGTCAGGTTCATACAGAAAGTAAAGTTGAATGTTATACAGCAACTATGTATTAATGTGGTTCTCAGTGAGCTGGATAATTTAGGACTAGAGAATACTCCTGCTGCTGCTACCCTGATGGAAGGATATCACTGACAGTACCATATTAGGTGAATTACATGCCAGTCTAGGCTCAGGTGAGTGCAGTGTTTTCTTAATCCTAGAATTTGGATATTGACTCCATAACTGAAGTGACTGATTCAGCTGGGAATGAGCAGATGGTCTTGACAATTTTTACTGTGCAGGGCAAAATGACATATTGACTGACACCATCAGTATGTGAACTGTTCTTTGGATAACAAGAAGGGGAACGGAGCATATGTGTGTATACCCTGAATGCAGTCTGGGCAGATATCACATCCTGGCTGTAAACCACACATCATCTGAAAAGCTAACCCCCAGTTCAAGGGTGAAAGAAGAAGTGGAAGAAGTTTTGATTTATTTATTTTTCCAGTGCTTTACAGTTTTCAGTGCTGTAGCTAAGAATTCTTGTTGTTTTATTTATTGTCATGTGTGTTAAGGTTTTGTTTGTGACTGTGTTGTTTAGGTTTTGTTGCTAAGTATTAGTTGATAAAGACTTTGGTCAAAATGTCCACTTGAATCTGTGTGTCTTTCGGAGATTGTTAGTTAAATTTTGTGTTTAGAATGTTTTGTCCTGTCCACATCAATTTAAGTAGCAGTGCAGTGGCCAGATGGTTACCACCCATCTTTAAGATCTTGGGTTTGAATCTACATCTTACCTGCATAAGTTTCTGGCTTCCATTTGGGGTGGAAAAGGGGGGGGGGGAAGAGTATAGACTCATTACCCATAACAAACATGTGGTAAAGATTGACTAATTAGGGATGGTTTCCTCAAAGTCGAAGTGCATCTGTCAGAGAGGTGAGGAACCAACAGTCTGCTTACAGATATGCCTGATCTGTTAAATGGATGGGCACACACAACTTGAGGTCTGAAATAAGACTCAAGTCCAAAAGTGTATAAACAACCTGGACTTTCTGCTGGAATTTACAGCCAGTCAACACAAAGAAGAGGAAGAACCTTCATCTGGGTGGATGTTCTCTTAAGATGACTCGGTGTGAAATGGGTGTCAGGAAATATCTTGGAAAGTAAAAGCACCTGGCATGATGTTTGCCACATCATTTAGCAAGCGCCAACTGGTCTATTAGACAAATATGGGTCTAGCACCATATGTCTGGTGCACCTGTAGGCATGAGAAGGCTTCTCAGAAACCTTTTAGTTTACTTACATTAATGCAGGTGGAGCAACTGGCTGAATGGTTAAGAAACATTGGGTTCTCGGGCATGAGACCCATATTCAAATCCTCAGTAAAGTCATGGATGTTTTCTGTCAGGGACAAAAATAAAATCCTTACCTGCACTGTCCATGCATCCCTAAATCCTCAGGCTCAAAGATTTCCCTGGCTACACTGAAAAGTGGCAAATACAGGCAGTAATGGGCACATGACAATATGGAAGAGTGCTTATATTAGTGCTTGTATTATTAAGTATAAACATATTAGAGCACTGTTAGTTTATTTTTAACTGTGTGTGATTGTACTGTGTAATAAAACTCAAAGTGTTTTATTCATGTTTCTTCTTTTTCTCCTCCTCTTCCCTCTAATTCCCTCTTAATAAAGGTGAGACATTGTGTTGTGGTTTACAGTAAGACTGTGATAACTGTGCCTTTCATTTTAAGCCAACCCTTATTTAGTCCACTTATACAGCATGCCAGTAAGAAGGGCAGTGGTTTTAACACCCCCCCCCCCCCACCCAATCCCAGATAGGGCCCTATAATCCAAACGGTGATGTTTCCTATCCATTATTCTTTTTGTTTTCAATGTAACCTGTACTTCATCACCACTGAGACAGCATGCATATGCCAGTGATTTTCAAAGACTTTATCAAAAATAAGTCACATGAAACAATCCATCTTGAAACTAGTTTTTGTTCACAGTAATTAAATTATGGTAGACCACCATGTTGTCAATTTGTTATTTCAGGTGATTATTTTTCTGTCTCTCAAAGTCTCACCTGCTGCAACAATGGAAGGTGGAAAATGGGGCTTGGTGATCATTCTGGCAGCCTTTATGATTCAAGTCCTTGCCTTTGGTGTCACTTCTACAGTTGGTGTTTACAACATTGATTTATTGGATTACTTTGATGGTGCAACTGTAGGGGTCTCCTTGATTGGTTCTATCAACTATGGGGTGTTTCTAGGTTCTGGTAAGTGAATTATTTGTTCACATTGCTTGTGAACTTGACTTGACTGACTGACTGTTTGTTTTCACTTCAGGCTGCCGTCTAAAGGTTGACACACTTCTGATTTAAAGAGTGGCAAGCTGGATGCCAATCTAACAAGATAAATCCCAGATACACCGCTCAACTTCCAATGACATTAATATTCTTTATCTTCTTCTTCTTATTCTTTTTTTTCTTCTTCTTCTTGGCACTCACCAGCTGTAAATTCTGGCAGAAAGTTCTAGTTTTTCACCCACCTCTGAACTTTAGACTTGTTAGCGAACCTGTTTTACAGATCTGACTTATATTTATGCAGACTGTTGGTTCATTGCCTCTCAGGCAGATGCACTCCTACTTCGAAGGACCCCCAGTTAATCAACTCTTACATCATGCTTGTTGGGGAGGCAATGGGTTTATTCTTTTTCCTCCCACAATTGGGCCCCAGAACCAACATGGGTCAAAAACATTATAATTAGGGTACCTGTAATAGCTACACTAAGTACTGACCTATGGTACGCTGAAGTTTTGTGGATAAAGGAGGGAAGCATTGAAGGAGTGAACTTGTGTAAGACTTTAAATTATCTACGACTGGAGAAAATGACAAGAAGCATTCAGATTATCATGCAATCACAGTTTCAGCTTCATAACAGACAAGTCTCCCATAGTTGCTCTGTTCCAGTGCCAACGTAAACCACACAGAATGTCCATCACTGTCTCTTGTGGAGGATTTAACAATGACGGCTCTCTCAGCATAAGACAGGACTAGATGCTTTATTATTATCCTACCCAAACGGGAAATCTACAGGTCATGGGACAGTCTAATATTTCCGGGGGTGGTAAATAGGCTGCATGCAGTCGTGGGACCTAGGCTGCATGCAGTCGTGGGACCAAGACTGCACTCTCTCGTGGGATGTAGGTGTGTTGGGGTAAGGGCCAGTTCTAGATGTTTTGGGGTCGTTAAAAGCTGGAGAAAGTCGGGAAACCCAGTCTTACCAACCTCTAAAATGTTGGACTGTCATGTGACGTCATCTGGGGGTAAGATATTAATAAAGAACCCAGGACTATAAATCTGACCCGTGGAGACCTACCGAATGGCCCATGAATCATTGCCAGTGCTATTGTATTTATGATTTTTCTATGCTGGGACTCAGGTTTCTGGCCCGTGACGACTCCCGTTTTAAAAATTGTGGCCCCTTAGCAAATTTAGTTAAAAAGCTCTGGCATATGCAGTAGCATACACACACATTAGCTGCATAAGGCAGCAGTCAGAAGTGCTAACTCAAACAATCTGACAGTAGAAATGCAGTTTATCATTGATGAAAGCAGCAGTTACAACAGATCCGTACTTGCACACAGAGTTTGTCACATAATGCACTACCAGTTAGTTCAGTGGCCATACAAGAGGCATTGTTTTTGTGTGTGTGTGCATGTGTGCATATGTATGAGTGTCAAGAGTTGCCATTTATCCTCATTTTTGCGGACATGTCTTGATTTCACGAGAAAATCTAAGTATCTGCAAACAATTGCGCTCAATTTTAGATATGTCTACAACTGCAAAAATGAAGACAGAATTAACATTGTGAATATGTCAAAAACTCTGTAAACAGTGAAATGTATTTCAAAATCACAAATATAACGGTAGAAAGACTATTTTCTTGAATCAATGGCCCAGTGAGAGAAATCATCTTATTGTGGATTCAGCCATATCAATTGTACTCATAAAATTTGATTTCAAACATGTCACATGCAGGGAATTTTATGGATATTTTATGTGGGGGGGGTGGGGGGGGGGGAGGAGGGGGAGACCTAAAAAAAAGATGTCATCAGAAAAATATACATGGAGCACAATTTGAATGGAATTTAATGTTAGGAGAGGTGTCCTTATTTTGGAAGATCAAAATATGGCAACCCCAGTGGGTGTAAAGATCACTTCTATTGCACTTAGATATCTTCATAACTGCTGAATTCCAGAGAAATTTGACTAAAAAGCTCAACAAAATAGGAAAAAGGAAAACGTGCACAAAACAACACAACGTAACGTTTCGGCCAGGCAGCCTTTTTCAAACACAAGTGGACTACACAAAAGAGGAATGGAGAGTATGTAGATCTCTAAGGGGTGACGTGAGCGACGTTTAAAAAATGTGATGCGGAATAAATGAAATAAAATAAAATAAACGATGGCTAAAAAATATAGTCACAATACTGGGAATAAAAGAAATGCAAGTGTTAATGATACATAAATGATATTGATAAGAAATAGAATATGGTAATAATATGAAATAAAATAAAATAATTAACATTTAAAATGTAATAAGATTAGAACTATTTAGATGAAGGTATGTTGGATATTGATACCTCTTGGACAAAGAACGCCAAGGCTGTGGATAAGGCGATTTTCCAAAGCGAGGCGGGTAGTATGATCGCCAGAGCAAGATTTTAATGCTGTGACAGATATGTCATCTTTACCGCTGTGGTCAGGGCTGTTAAAATGAAGAGGGATTGGTTTGAGTGTCTTCTTGTCGATATCAGAGAGGTGTTCCCGGAAACGATCAGCTAGCTTCCTGCCAGTCTCCCCAATGTATGCCATGCTGCATCGTTTGCAGATAATTGCATAAATTACGTTGCGGGATTCGCAAGTAAAAGGTTCCCTAATTTGAAAAGAACCATTAGGGAAACTGACCGAAGAAGTCTGGACAACGAAAGGACATGTTTTGCAGGTGCTGCGTGAGCACTGAGTAGTCCAAAGAGGAAGTGCTGTATGGTGGGAGTCGGCTTCGGACAAGTATGTCTTTAAGGTTGCGATCTCGTCTGTAAACTAATCTAGGTTTCTCACTAAAGATAATCTTGGTGTCCGGATCAGAGCGGAGAATGTCCAAATGACGAAAGAATACTTTGGAAGCAACCACATTGTTAGGGTGAAAAGTCAAGATCAATTTAGGTCCCTCATTGGTGGAGTTACGTTTGGTAGGAAAAGCATCTCTCCTGGTGATTGCTAAAACTTTGTTTAGAGCCCCTTGTAGAATGTGTTCCGGATAGAAACGGGCACGGAAGAATTCAAGAAGTTCAACTGATTTATCAAAGAAGTCAGAATCGTCAGAGCACAACCTGCGCAATCGAAGTAGCTGTGAATATGGAATAGAATTTTTACACGGTAGTGGGTGAGAAGACGTATAGAGGAGATAACTGTGAGAATCCGTGGGTTTGTAGTAGGCTGTGGTTTTCAGACACGGGAAATCGATGCTAATCGTGATGTCAAGAAAGTTAACTGAAGTGGTGGAGATCAGTGAGGTGAATTTGATAGCCGGATTGAAATTGTTGATGTAAGTAATAAATTGGTCAAGCTCAACCATGGACATTTCGGTGATACCAACGCCATCATCTATGTATCTCCTATACACCTCCGGAAACTTGCCCGGGTATGATAAACTGACCTCGTATTCCAGGTGGCCCATAAAGAGGCACGCGTAACTAGGACCCATCTTGGTGCCCATCGCAACCCACTGATCTGGTCAAAATACTCACCATTAAACTCAAAAGAGTTGAGGGTCAGTACCAGTTCGGCAAGGCGTACAAGAACTGAAGTAGGGATGATCGGGTTGGACCTTCTGTCCAAAAAGAACTGGAGTGCTCTAAGACCATCAGAGTGAGGGATAGACGTATAGAGGGAGCATACGTCTATAAGGAAAAGATGATAGGTTTTACCGGGAAGTAGTCTGATGGATTCGAAAATGTTGAGGGCATGGTTGGTGTCCTTGACAAATGAAGGGAGACTGGTGACAATCGGTTGGAAAATACTATCTAAAAATTCAGAAAGATACACCGTGGGACAGGAGCATGCAGATACAATGGGACGTCCAGGGTTGTTGGGCTTATGGATCTTAGGCAGCAAGTACATACACGGTTTGTCAAGTTGGCTGTCAAAAACACGCATATTGTTGGCCTGCTTAGGAAGAGTACCCTGTGAAATAAATGATTGTAACGTGTCCTTGACTTTCTTATTGTTGGAGACTGTGGGGTCGTCCCTTCTTGCGGAATAGAAAACGGGGTTTCTGAGTTGGGTATTGGCTTCCTCAATATAAAGATCCTTCCTCCAAACTACTACAGCGCCCCCTTTGTCAGCTGACTTTATAACAATATCGTTCCTCTTTCTGAGGGAGGAGAGAGCCCGCCATTCACCTTTGGAGAGGTTGGATTTAGGTAAAGGCCTTTGTTCCAACTGTTGGATAGTATGAAGCGTGTGGCTGATGTATAGATCAAGCGCCTTAGATTTACCAGCAGGAGGAGTCCACTGTGAACGGGATTTGTTGGCCGTTGAAAGAAATGTAGTTTCGTCAATAGGCCCAGTGGGTGCGGGTGGTTGACCCCAGTGATGATGTTTCAGGCATAGACGGCGATAGAAGGAGTGTGCTTCCTGGAGGAGAGTGTATTTGTCAGCACGTGGTCTTAGAGGGACAAATTTCATAACTGCTGCAGGTGTCCACATGAGTCACACAATAAGAGTCTTCAGAGGCTGAACTCTGTAGAACCTGCAGAACAATGTGACAGAAGAAGATAATAATCAAACCCATTAGAAAGTAACCAAAACCAGCAAAAAATGATTACCATATAATGGACAGTCCAGAACAAGTCAGTATTTACGTCTTAGAACAGGGCACAATCAACTTTGCAGCCACATGCACACAAAATTTAAGATTGGCAAATCAGCCATGAATACGTGTGGATTAGCACCTGAGATGACAGATTATGTCCCACATACATCATATCAAGGCAACATTTTTGGCCAAGAGAAACACCGGTGCAAGTCAACCTTTATGGGTTGCTGAGGGAAATACAAAAGACAGTGAAGTTCATACTAGAGACAACAGTGCAAATATAGATAATATATTTCAAGTGAACAAAAGAAGAAGAGGAAGACTGCAGCAGTAGTTTTCTTCCATATACTGCACTTTATCTGTAATACTGTCTTAGTGTCAGTTATGGTAGTTTTCTACTGTATGATGTCTTTTGTTTTTATCATATTTGTCACTTTTTTAAGTTTCCTTGCATATTGTATTTTGCAGGGCCAATAGTCAGTTTCCTCATGACAAGATTTAGCTATAGGAAAATTGCCTTGTTTGGGTCAGTGCTTGTAGTTATTGGACTCCTGGGCATGCCAATTCTGCCTTACATACCAGCAATGTGTGTCTGTTTTGGGCTGCTAACTGGTGGGTATTCCTTGTTTGTTTTTTACATCTTTAAATTGTATATAAATAATGTGTTAATTAATCTATTTACATTTTCAAATGATATATAAATAATAAGCTGAATTAATATAAATGAAATACAAATGGAATAATGGTAAATTCAAAACAGTCTGACAATCTGGAGTAGAGTTCATAATTCTGTTTTAAACTTCTTTTCGTGCATTATGGAAACAGACTAATAACTGAATAGTGTTGCTTCATATCTGCCTATGGTATGACAACCTCTGAATAATAAATAGCAGATGGCAACACATTTAAATCAGGTACAGTTATACTGGTTGAATGAGTATCTAGGCAACGATGTATGGAACTGTCCTATTATACATGACTAGAGTCCCAACATGTCATCCTCGCACATACAAGTTACAAATGTAAATTACTGAGACTGCAACAGATGACACTACTCAAGCTTCAGTATTCATTGACTGCCATGTTTAAAACACTTGACAACGATGAATAATGAACGGTGAAGAACATCTATCTGTCTCTCATATTTAACAAAAGATTCAGCAGCTCAGTAGCAATAGTGTTGTCAGTAATCTCTTGTTCAGCCCTTCTGAGTTAAAATGGAAAGATATATTGTCTTTTCTGTTAAGTTGAGTTGATTCAAGAGGCGACATCTTAGCATTTCCATAAGTATGCCATCCTCATCTTCAGCAGCCAGCACAGAGTTCCATTACCAGTGGTGCCAGTAGCATTCTGATTAAATGTCCGTCTTGCCTTTTCTCTGAGTGTTGAACATCGGCCAGAACCCCTCATCACTCCCTGCTGCATCACTGTCACCAGACTTAGGTGATCCATTTGCTCCTCTGAATTGTACACGCTCTCCCTACATGACCCTAATCACATCTGGCTTATCATGCATCAGTATTCCAACAAGTTTTGCAGAGCCAGCTAGACTGTGCACCTGTTCATTTCCCAAAACACCGGCAAACCCCGGAGAAAAAAATCCAGACAATACTCTGCACGAAGCATGCCTATCCTGACACTCCTGGGCATGCTTTTTGAGTCATTTACAGTCACGATGTGTGTTAGTCATATTCTCTAACCTGTGGAAAGATGCAGTGACCGAATGTAGTGGTATCATATGTTAGGCTCTCCTGCACCAGACAACGTCCATCATTAATTTTTGTTAAGAAGCCCCAAGAAATTTTTTTGCTTCTTGACACTGAACCATCTGAATAAATACCCACATCCTCTGACTGAGCATGATCTTGAATTAATTGTTGAATTTGAACCTCTGTGGCACCCGCTGACCACGTTCTACATTCTCGGCTCAATGGGATTATGACTCTACACAAATCTGACTGTTCCGCTGGCACTCTGACCCACTCCTCTCCTCACCTGATGTTCTTCAGGATGTAAACCTGTCTGACTGTAACTTCTGCCATCCATGACTTCCCTCTTATCAGCTGCTGGCCCTTAACTGTCCCAGAGCTTCGGGCAAAGGTGATATGTACCTGCAGCGACTCTGAGATATGACTTCACTTGCAGCACCAGGAGCCTACCTGCAACAGTCAGCATACCAAGGATTTATCGCATTTACACCACTGGGGTGTCTCTGTATGAGCTCTAGCTTAAAGTCTTTTATGTTCAGATCAGAGATATTTGCAAATTTTTAAATATTTTTTAACTACTTGAGGTTATTTCATATTATATTTATTCCTGTTAATTTTCATTGTATTGTTAAATCTTTTTTGTTTCTCTGTATATGTTCTGGGACCCATTGTGGGGAAAAGCAAGATTAGACCCACTGCCTCCCCCAAAAAAGCATGTTGTAAGAGTCAACGAACTTTGGGCTTCCTTCAAAGTCAAGAGAATTTGGGAAATAAGTCAGATCTGTAAAACAGATGGCACGCAGCATTCTGATTCTGAAACAAGACTAAATACAAGAGGTGGACCAACAACCAGAACTTTCTGCTAGAGTTTACACCCGGTCAGCAGGAAGAAGAACAAAAGTATGATTATTAGTTGACAATTTAGTCAAATGAATAATTGACTGCAAAATGTCTTAACATGGAACAGTATACATTTAACTTGATTGGTGCGTGTGACAACCCTTACTATCTTTGTATAGTTAACAATTTATGTCTGCAGGTTTTGGTAGTTCCTGTGCTTATATTCCATCGCATGTTCTCAGTGGTCTGTACTACGACAAGCACAGAAGTTTGGCTACAGGAGTGGCCACCAGTGGGTCTGGTCTGGGTGGAGCTATAATGCCAATAATAACAGGGGTACTTATTGAGTATTATACTTGGAAAGGGTCACTAATCTTTGTGGCCGGACTTTGTCTTCACTTGATTGTCTTCTCTGCATTGCTGCGTGAGCCTCCACCACTCTTGATGAAAGAGACAAGCATCACACAGTCTGCCACAAAAGAGGAAAAGCCATGTGATGAATGTATAGCTTTGATTAAAGAAAGCTATATAGAAAAAGATGTGACTGGGGAAGGCATGTTACATCATGACAGCCACGAAAATTGTGTTGTAACATTTGTTGCACTGGATAAACAATTTCCAGAAACAAAGGCAAATATCCACAATCCTGAATTAGAAAATTCATCACCTCTGCCCATAGATGCGAACGGATACCCTACTGTGAGACATGAGAGTAGCCTGAATGACAATACAGAAGAAGGAACATTGATCCCCAAACAAAAAAGTCACTGTGTTGCACTTCTGTCCAGTCAGCATTCTTTGTCAATATCTTCTCTGCATTCAGCAGGCTGCATCAGAGGGGCTAGTCAGGTTGTCGTTGACAACAGTGTTGTGCCTCTGAATTCTAAGTCTGCGTATGAAGCTGTTGATGTTTCAAAAGCAAAGAAAATTCCAAATTCATCCCGCCATATATATATCTTTACCAATTATGGTTTTGATGTGTATTTTGCAAGTAACATCATGTGGAATGCTGGCACTGCAATTGTAAATGCTTTTGTGCCAGAGTTTTTAACAGAAAAAGGCCTTTCGCCAATGGAAGCTGCTTGGTATGCAGGAATTTATGGATTTGGATGTTTTGTTGGTGGTGTTCTGGGAGGTGTATTTGGTAATTTTCGGTGGGTGAACAGGCAAGTTCTATATACTGCATCAAACATTGTCATGGGTGTAAGTCTCAGTGCCTTTCCATATTTTGAACAAAAACCTCTTTACCTGGTGTTCCTCATCATTAGTGGAATAGCTTTTGGAATTATACTTGGACTGTTGATTGTGGTACTTACCGATCTGATTGGGGTTGAAAGCCTTGGAAATGGATTAGGTTATCTTATGCTTTCAAATGGACTTGGGACATTTATAGGACCACCAGTGGCAGGTAAGTGTTCTTTCAGTTAATTAATATTTGAACAAAAGCAAAACAAACATACAGCACAATTTATTGCCTTAACTCTATCTCTTGAGGTATTTTCTAAAGTTTTCTGAAGTACTCAGTGTATAAGATGCAGCAAAATTTACCAGAAATAAAGAAATTCTGATGCTGACAGAAACATAGTAATAGTGTTGGTAGAATATTATGTTATGTTATGCCAAACTGTACTGGCTTTTGCCTTTCCCTTGGTATCCCTGGCGACCTATGGAGAGGGGTACCTGCTGTCTGGGCAACTGTCTGTACTCCAGATCAAAATGCCCAGGCCTGGAGGTTGAATACCATTGGCCATGATGTTTGTACCTGAGTACACTTTTCATTACTGCAACACCTGTTACATTAGCAGAATGTCTGTGTGACAGTAATAATATTACTAGATTGCTGTAGCCAGCCTTATGTCATAAGCCAGTCTGTCTGTCTCTTTTTCCCCTGGTATGATCACTTGTGTGATACCAGATACTCCTTTTAACATCCCAAGAAATTATAATTGTGGCCCCCTTGAGTGCTGCATCAAGTACTACACTGGTATACCCTGCTGACCAAGGCAGGCAAGTATCTGATAGAACATTGTTTTATTTCCATTCTAATTTATAATAGTGTTGTGGTCACTATATTTACATCTTTTCAACACTTCTAAAGAAAACATTTTGTGAAAACAAAGAATGGACCGACTGCCCCTCAACTATTTAAGTTCCAAACAACTCACCTTACATTTCTTGGTCATTTTGAAGATAATATATTGTTTTTGTTGTCTTCTGTCATAGACAATGTTTTATTTAACTCTTTTCTTTGGGGAGGGGGGGGGGGGGGGGGGGGGGGGGGGGGTGGTCAGAATTTTTAGCTTGAACATATTTGTTCCATTGTATCTCTTTCAAACACCAACAGCTCTGAATATGTATCACTTTTAAGCTCAACACCTTGGACAGAAGAGGATAAAGTAATAAGTTCTTGGGACTGAAAGAGTCAAGTCCCAACTATTTGCTCAACTAGTGACTGCAGTCACCCCTATTTGACTGATGAAAGGTTTGCTGAAATCAGATATGCAGGCCACCCTGACAAAAGCAAACACAAAAGAAGAGTAACTATATTTACAAGGCCTCTGAAAATGTTTATTTATTTATATTTCTAGGTCTAATCAAGGAGGCAACTGGAAGTTTCAAGGAGGCAATCGTCCTGTCTGGTGTCCTGTGTGTGTTTGGTGGATTGATAATGATTTTGATGCCTTGCAGATGGAATTGCTGTAGCCAAAAGAAAACAGAACATTTAGTTTATAATAACTGAAAGTGTGCTTAACTTCACTTCTATTTTAAAAGTGAATGAAGAACACGAAGCATTTATCCTGTATGGGCATAATTTCAAATGTTATATTAATAACTTATCAATGTTTATATTGCAACAGTTAGAGCCTGTATGACTGCAAATGTTATTCTTTGGGAAAGGGGTTGGGTGTGGGAATTCTTGTACTTTCTGATCTTCTGCTGTTGCCCTTAAAAAGGAACACAGTGTTGTGGTGCTGAGGTTCACAGTGTTGTGGTTCTGAGGTTTACAACTAGACTTTGATATCCACACCTTTATACCTAACACATCTGGTTTCAGCAAATTCCTAATAACTCACTTTTTATTACACTTATGATGAATGTTTTCCCTTCAAAACAGGGCTTTGGAACCAAATGTGGGTTAGTTGTCTTTTGGTACTATCCAACGTTTTCGGTCTCATATACACTGTTACAGATTAACAATTATCTTCACATCTCTGTTGCTACCTTATCAAATATTTTTGCTGTTTATGAACTGATTTATCTCAGATTGTAAACATATCTCAAATTTTTAACATTTTTGTAACATAATGTTAATATGTGAAAAGTTATACTGTTATCATGCATTTTGATTTATTATTTCTAATGTGAACAAACATATTTATAGTATATTGGTTAGTTGTGTATCCTTTACAGGACGTTGCAGAACCAACCCCAACAGCCCCTGGCTGTTGTGTGGTTTTTCTAGGCAAATTTACGTCCTAATAGTTTGCCATTGCTTTCTGGACGGTCGGCTTTCTTGATACCACTGTCAAAACCAACGCAAAGCGCATGGCCCGCAGCTGGAATCGAACCCGGCATTACGAAGCGAAAGCATTCGCATCGACTTAGCCACAGAGCCGACTATTTATAGTATATACAGTTTATAAATATATTTCCTAATGTTGAACGACTATAAACTCTGGCAGAGTCCTTAGTGTTTATCTGCTTCTGGTCTTTGTTTCTTGTTCCAGGACTATTATGTGCACATCAATTTTACACATCTGGCTCCTGTATGTACCAACTTTAAAGTAAACGTTGATCCTGTCTTCATTGACCAGACTTCTGGTTAGGAACCTGTTTCTGGGATAACCATATCAGGCAGATGCCCTCCAGCTTTAAAGTAAATGTAGATCCTGTCTTCATTGGCCAGACTTCTGGTTAGGAACCTGTTTCTGGGATGACCATATCAGACAGATGCCCTCCAGCTTTAAAGTAAATGTAGATCCTGTCTTCATTGGCCAGACTTCTGGTTAGGAACCTGTTTCTGGGATAACCATATCAGGCAGATGCCCTCCAGCTTTAAAGTAAACGTTGATCCTGTCTTCATTGGCCAGACTTCTGGTTAGGAACCTGTTTCTGGGATGACCATATCAGACAGATGCCCTCCAGCTTTAAAGTAAATGTAGATCCTGTCTTCATTGGCCAGACTTCTGGTTAGGAGCCTGTTTCTAGGATGACGATGAAGAGGTATAGGTAGGTGTTGACCAGTAGAGCGCTGGTCCTGGTGCACTTCCAAATGTGGTTCAGCTCCTTTGCACCTGCAGTGACTCTCTTTGGACTCTTAATCATGCTCTGACACATTGACAGATACTTTAACACAGTAAGCTGGAACAGGGACAAACGTTTAGATTTGAGAAGAAAGAACAGTGTTATGGAATTAAAGCTTGAAGGGACGACATGCATACAAATTATTAAAAAGCTCTAACTAAAAATACAAAATAACCAGCAAACTAAAAATACCCTGAAATATAATAATTACTGAGACTGCAACTCCTGTTTTGAATGTTAGGCGTGTAACAATACCGAACACATTATTTAAAGATTGCAAGAAATAACAAAATTAGGAGACTGCCCATAATCAGTATGTGACCAGCTGTGGTAATCCCAAGGCAGGAAAAAACATACTAAAGATAGTTCACTCTAGAGAACTACAGGCAGGGAAGCATACAACAAGAAAAATTTGCATACACGGTATTATATCTCAAAGCAAAATAATAATATATAGATCATTGTGAATTTTCTCAAAGATAATTATACAGGCTTCTTCTGCATTTGCCCCTAAAAGAATGATTGTACATTGTGTTGTAGTTTACAGCTAGGCTGTGATATCTGTGCCGTTCAGTCCAGCACATCTGATTTCAGCCAACCCCTGATTAGTTGTCTTGTAGGACATGCTCATTAAGGCGGCAGTATGTCTGTTAACAGCGATTCCCCACCCCAAAATGTGGCCCTAAAACTCGCATAAGGAAATTACACAATCTGATTATAAAAGTTTTTTTTTGAAAAAGTACAATTAAAAGGTATTAACAATTTATATTGCTACATTCTTATATTTTTCTAACAAACTATGCAATATCTTGTTACCAGAAGTAATTGACAAACATAAAAATCTAATTTTGGAAAAGAGAAAACTCTGTAAAATCCAGGTCATCCCCATGCGGTATGTAATTTTTTGTTGTTGAAGCCCCACCCTGGCTTCTGCCGGCGGCCCTGAATATATACGGGGCATAGATATGGCCTTACGGCTAAAAGGGGTTTCTGGGACCTCTCCACAGGTGATCCACATCCCCAAAGTGGCACTTTGTGTCACTTGGTGTTTATCGCTTGTGTGATGTCCTGGTGGGGTAAAACTACCTACCTACCTTAGTATATCCCAGTTGAAACTTAGAAGGGTTGAAGAGGATATAATTGATGACATTATTACTGCTACTTAAACATTCTTTTTGAGACTGCCTGATGTAGAGAAACATGATTACCTGGTCGGTGGACCAAGTATTTAATAATACTGATAACAAAAAAGAAAGATGTCATACAAATTGGAATTGGAATAACAAAATTGTCTTAATTTTATTATTTGTTTCATTTTTTTAATTAAACTGTCTTTACTCCCTGTTTTTACCCATTTTTAAGGCTGTATAAACCAGAGGGTGCAAACACCGGGGAAATGAGAGTGAGAAGCAAAGTCTTTACTCCCTGTTTTTACCCATTTTTAGGGCTGTATAAACCAGAGGGTGCAAACAGCGGGGAATGGAGAGTGAGAAGCAAACAGTGGGGAATGTAGAGTGAGAAGCAAACAGTGGGGAATGGGAAGTGAGAAGCAAACAGTGGGGAATGGGGAGTGAGAAGCAAAAACGAAATTATTGTCTGTTTAAATCACCACTGATCACTGGCATCATGAGAGCTAATAGACAAATGGTTAGGGCATATTGAAAGAATGTCAGATGACAGAGAAGTAAAAACTGTATACACAAGGTAGATGAATGGTTGTAGACCACGAGGCAGACAAAGACCAAGATGAAGAGATAATTCCAGACAGACCTGCAAACACTTGGTGTCACCAATTGGAAAGAGAAGGCCAACCTGAGAGATGCATGGAGGTGTGTGATATCAGCAGCAATGAACCTCAAGGGCTCGGAATGCTGAAGAAGAAGTGTAAACCAAAGGGGTCTTTAGCTTTAGGATTTGGGCCACATGGCTAGTGCAGTCACCACAGACTGCAGCTTAGGATTTGATTTTTTTCCTCTAACAGAAAAATCCATAAATTTACTGTTGGAACCAAGGTCTCCTAAACCCATCATACTTAACTGCTAGACCATCTGCTCCTGATATTGGTGATATATTAAACACAAGATTTTGTTATGTTCCTGTAACATCCATAACATATCAGTTTATTTTTGATAGTTTTTTTCTTCTTCAAGGTATTAAAATGTCTTACTTGTATTCCCATATACATTTTCTCTCTCTTTTTTGATTTTATTATGTGATATTTTTCAACAGTGTAGAACAGATGAGATCATTTAACCAGATATTTTTAGTGTGATTTTTAATTTATTATTATATTATTTATTAAACCAAAGTCCAGAAATGAATGAGCAACCATGACTCTCCACCAGGTTTTACAGCTGGTGTATGCAAACAAACAAACAAACTGACTTGTCTAGAATCAGACATGTTCCGTTTTCACATTTGCCATACACACTGCACAGATATTCCCAATTATTGTGTGCCCCCACAATGAATGATTATATGCAACTATATGACTTTTTTGATCATTTTTCATTGCTGGAGTCAAATTGTCTGACACTACTTGTAAAATCTCTTTATGTTCAATTGTGTACTTTTCATTATATCTTTTGTATCTAATTGTTCCTTTTAACCGCACTTTTAAAAATTATAGTTGTTTACTTTTAATATACCTGTACCTATTTCAGATTGTTTTCTTCGCATACTTTCTTTGTCTAATTGTTTAATTTTTATCATCTCTTTATAGCATATTGCCTTTTAAAATAATCTCTTTATATCTGATTGTTCACTTTTAAGAATCTTTTTCTTCCTTATTTATTTTTAATAATGATTGTTGTTTTATGTACATATAAAAGTAGAGTGTATTCCTTCTCTCCCACTTTCTCTCTCTCTCTCTCTCTCTCTCTCTCTCTCTCTCTCTCTCTCTCTCTCTCTATATATATATATAAATATATATATATATATATATATATATATAAATATATATATTAGGGCTGAACCGAATAGTGATTTTCACTATTCGGCCGAATACGAATAGCTGGATCAACTATTCGGCCGAATACAAATACGAATACGAAAAGTGAATCATCATCATCATGTGCTTTGCCGGCTGGCATGGGCGATTATGCCTCGCCACAATCTGCGATCTCCTGCAGCATGTATTAGTTCATGTGCTGACACACATCCATGAAAAACCTTCGTTCCATGTTGTCAGCATTAGGCCAGCTTTTTGTCTCACTGAAGGTATTTCCAGCTGTACTAAACAGGAAAATACGACAAATACAGAGAGTCAAAATGAAAACCCGCAGGGCGAAACACCAAAAACAAAAATAACGCTGACGAAGAAAACAATGCCGTCCTTACAAGTCTCCCATCCCCCGCGAGCTCACGAAACCAGACGCCGGGCAGCCAACGCCAGAAGATTAAACAACAAAGACACTCAAGAAACCGAACGTCGAT